GGGCGCCCGCGCAGCCACGCCAGGAACGGCCCCAGGCCGCAGTCGCAGCGCCAGGGGTTGTGCCCCATCAGGACGTCCGCCAGCCGGGGCAGGGCCTCAAACGCGTCGCCAGGCAGGGTCTGCAGCAGGTTGTGCTCCAGCTGGACCTTCTCCAGGTTGTGGAGGTCGCGGAAGAGCCCGCGGGGCAGGGCGCGCAGCTGGTTGTTGCGCAGCGACACCTGGCGCAGCTGGCGGAGGCCGCGGAGCAGGCCGTCGGGGAGCGAGGCCAGGCGGTTGGCGTCCAGGGCGAGCTCCCGGAGCTCGCCGAGGCCTCGGAAGGCGCCCTCGGGGAGCGCGGTCAGACGCGGGTTGTGGGTCACCCTCAACGCCCGCAAGCCGCTCAGGTTGCGGAAGATGGCGTGGGGCAGGGTGCGCAGCCGGGTGCCGTTCAGCAGCAGCTCCCGCAGGCCCGCCATCTCCCCGAAGAGCGCCTCCGGGAGCTCCTCCAGCGGGTTCTCGAACAGCGTCAGGAGGGTCAAGTTGTGCAAGTGAAGGAAGAGCGCGGAGGGCAGGAACTGGAGCTGGTTTTCGGAGAGAGTCAAATATACCAGGTTGCGGAGCCGGTCGAAGGCCCCAGGCGCGAGGGGAGGGACGTGGCTTCTGTGCCCCGGATCCAGGGAGACCAGCTGGTTGGAGTGGAGCAGAAGTTTCTCAAGCTTAGCCTGTGCCCCAAGCAATCCTTTGGGCAGGTGAGTCAACTTGTTTCCCGATAAATTCAACACTCTCAGGTTGCCCAGGTGTGTGAAGAGGCTGGCGGGAAGGAAAGCGAGCCGATTGTAGCTCAGAGAGAGCTCCTGCAGGTTTACCAGTTTCTGAAACATGTTTTGGCCAAGGCCCTTGAGTTCATTGCGGTCCAAAAACAGCTGCTCCAGGAGCACCATCTTATCGAAGAGCGCATCTGGAAGGTGAGGGATCTTGTTGCGCGACAGCCTCAGGGTTTTTAGTTTTATCAGGTCGTCGAAGGTGCCGGGAGCGACGTCGGAAATGTGGTTGTCGTACATGATCAGGCGCTGGAGGACCTTCATGCCGCTGAAGCTGTGATTCT